AGAAGACGAGGAAGAAGACGTAAGAAGATGCTGGATGACCTTGGGGACAGAAGAGGATACTGTCATTTGAAGGAGAAAGCTCTAGATCGCATTAAGTGGAGGAATTGTTTTGAAAGAGACTGTGGACCTGTCGTCTTGACAGATTACTGATGATGATGTATTTATTACCATAATAGTTATTTAATACACTTCTGAGAGAAGTTATGTATTCCATTTATTGGTGATGCATGTTAGATGTTTCTATAGTTTTTCTTTTGATGTGTGAGTGATGTAACATACATTATTTGATATTATATTGTTATTGATAATATCCATTTATATGCATTGTTTTTATAAACTGGATAAATTTTATATGATAAATGGTTAATATGTTTTCATCTAGTATTTAAGTCTTGTAGTCACATTTTATTATGTTTAGTGACTGTGATGTCTGTGTTTTATATTATGTTATTTTAACTTGTTCCAGTGATCGGTTGGAACATTTGTTTTGATTTTTGACACATTCTATATCCAGTGGTGTCTGAACTTGTTTCTCGCCCTGTAATTGGATTTAGTTGAATATAAGAAGAAATTAAATTAAATTTACGCTTTCAGTATTTCAAGATTAACTTTAATTGGATTGATGAAAATGGTGGATAAATAATTATGGATAAATTTTTTTCAGTACACTCTGAGCTGATTGCATGTAGATGTAATATTAATGTGCAAATTGTGGTTTAACTTTCTTTAAGATAGGTCATAAAGTATAGTAAAAGAGTAAAGGTGTCCCTGTAACAGGCTGTGGAGGCCCACACACACACACACACACACACACACATATATATATATATATATTTTTTTTTTTTCAAAGAGACCACTTCCACATCCTAGGTTTGTTACCTGTATGGATATCTGGAAAATAAAGGAAATGAATGAATGAAAGGGTTGTGAGATGTTGATGGTCCCACATATTCTAGACAGTTGGCTCATAGATGGTGGCAAGGTTGTCAGCCCTACATGCTGGCTGCCCTTTACCCCCGAGTATATTCCTGGTACTCATTTCTGTTAGAGGCTGAGTCAACGCCAGGGCCATAGTGCGGCTGGAAGGATTAGGTCAATTGAAAAAATCCAATGACCTCATTGGGACATGAACCCGCGACCTTCCTGCTTATAGCACAGTGCTTCAAACAACTATGCTACCGCATGCCCCTAAGATAGGTCATTCTGACCTAATATAATCCTAAGCCAGAAGGAGCATTGTGAGACTGTAAACTCTCAGCAATATGTGTCTAAACTTTGCACGTCATATATGAGAAAACTGTCTTGCATAACATACATAAGATGTCTGGCATTACCTTTGCTGTTACTTCTTGGGCTTTGTTATTTCAGTTGCTACTCAATGTGTCTTCTGTCCAATTTGTGCATTCTTAGAACTTTTTCCTGGAAGAAAAATATGATGTATATAAGAGATTTTCCAAAGCTTTGTTCAGAAGAGGTATTCTAACTTTAATTTTGCATCACCTTTTTGCTGCCCCCTAAGGGTGCTTTTTCCCTTTCATCGTAATTAGGTGTTTGTTTCATGCTGTGTAGTAAGAACTTATCTCACATATTTATTTAAAATATGTGAATATGGTGCTGTATTAAAATATTGTGGGTTGTGTTTGAAGAATTATTTAAAATAGAATAATTGTCATTTTTATATAGAGTGTGTTTACCTACATATAATAAATTCTTGTAATTTTCTTAATTTCTAAGATCAAGTGTAGTGTAAGGCTGCGCCATAGCTCAAGCAGTTAGTCGCTGGCTTCCCACAGCGGTGGCCCGGGTTTGATCCCGGGTCTGTCAAGTGGGATTTGTGGTGGACAAAGTGGTGCTGGGGCAGGTTTTCTCCAAGTACTTCGGTTTCCCCTGCCAATCTTCATTCCACCAAATTCTCCATCATAATAATCACCTGGAGCAGGCTACAATAGGCCAAACAGAGGCCGCTGTGCCGAGTGGACCCAGTTTGACTCCACCCCACACTAAGTGAATTAAAAAAATTGTAGTGTAAAGAAAGATGAACCCAAATGTATATGTGCCTGTGTGATTTCTAAGTCTTTAGCATTAACCCAGAAACTTCACAGAGTGTGTAATGGTGTAGCACACTCAGAGTGTTAATTATATATGTATGTATGATAAATATTTTCTTTCTATTAAACCTTCTGGGTTGCTGACACTAATTATCTTGAAAATCACTTGGGAGACTTACAGCTGAACTCATGTTTTGTATCTTGCAGCTATAAAGAAATCTCTTCATATAGATTATGATGCCCTGTGGAAGGAGGCAGAAGAAATACAAACTGCAGAGAAATTGAAACCTGATGATTTGAAAGTGAAGAGCAAAAAGGGAACTAAGGGCTGTAAAGGAAAAAGGAAATGTGAATTGGCTGACCCTGAATTATCAAAAAATTTGACATCAGAAGAAGTACCAGTAATTGTCGAACAACTAAATGAGTATGCATAATGGAAAATATAATTTTTTTACTTACTCTGTTTATAATGACAGACTTACAGTGTAGTGATGCCAGGACATGTGAAGTTTGTGGTAGATGTGTCCTTTCCCCTTGCAATGGAAGCCACCCTACCTTTGCATGGAACATCTCTTTAATATGGAACTTGGATGAAATTGAAACCTGTTTTTATTTAAGATTTTTCAAGTTCTTAGAAAATGGAGAAATATTGCCTTTAGTAAATGGAAACTATTTACAGTGGAAACAGAAGTCGTAAAGAAGGTTTTATCGGAGTAGTCATCTTGAATATTGTTTTTTTTTTTTTGTTCATGCAGTTTTGTTCCATAATTTTTCTGTCATCTGCCTGAAAAAGAAATGCACCTTTCAGAAGGTAGAAAGAATTAAGCCTGGTAGTTCACAGCAGAATTTCCTAAAGTGGACTGAAACCTTTTCTAGGACTGCTGAAAAATATGTCAATAACAAAGATGCTGAGTTAGTTGTAATCTTTAAAACCCTCGTTAGTTTACAAACATACATTGTAATTGAAAAAGTGCTTTCTTTATGAATGTCATTAAAGAACACTGTTTCTTGAAAATCAGATTTTAAGCCTTTTTAGTAGTGATGGTGGTGGTGGGGCCTCAGACATTTTTATTCGCATAAAGGCAGGCTCAAGCTGAAAAAATTAGCGAACAACTGCTATGCAGTAATTGAACATTACCCATTCACAACTGTAAGTATACCTGCATGCTCTTATGCTACAGATCATGGCCATTGAAATTATGTTTTTATACAGAACAGAAAGGATTGCATGAAATGTTTCTGCTACCATCTGTGAGTGATATTGTGTTACTGTTTGGTTTAATTAATTTTAGAAGTATGTGATATCTGAGACCAGTGAAGGTATACTTTCTGGTAATTTATAGACTGGGGATATCTGTAACAATTAACAGTCTCATATTCAAAGCTTGCCTGAAGTGAGGAAGGATGGAGTTGTGTTAATGGACTACTGGAAGCATTTTTAAAAGAAAAGTACTCTTCAGTTAACATTCAGTTATATCACAGTATAATTTTTGCAGTCATTTGTTATGTTACATTTAGCAGTAACATGTCAAGTTCCGTCATTTTCTGATGTACAGCTGAGATGCTACCACCTGTGAGATGAAACTGATATTGAAAATTTTAATTCTGCATCTATATAATTATTACATATGACAACAAACTAAGGAGGAAGGAAATAGGTGGCATTACTTTCTGATAGGCTGAAATATGTTTTAGAAGTAAAATTAATGCATTTTAACGAGACTTAACTTTGTGAGGTAACTGACCGCTTTGTTAAATTTATTTCAGTTTCCAAACTGGGTGTTCAACACGACAAAGGACTAAAGCAACAAAGAGAAGAGTTGCAAGAAACGCATCAGGAGCACTGCCTGAGCAGAAACATGTTATTGGTCCTGTTGTTGTTATTGATTCTCCAGAAAGACCTGCTGTTACAGTATGAAAAATTGTTATTATTATTATTATTATTATTATTATTATTATTATTATTGTCATCATCATCATGGTTTATCATAGTTTATGTTTCTGTTACATTTTGACAGTTGCACGAATTTTTCTCACGTTTCTAAACCCTTGCCACATGGGGCATGATGAGCTAAATTTATAGCTGGGCTGGAGTAATGTGAAAGGTATTGTCACATGTAATTACTAGAGATGGGGGTTCAGATTGGTAATTGGTTTATTGTATCTTCACTAGTTGCAACTACACTTAATTATTGCACTGTTGCAGGTTTACACAGTTTACAATCACTACATGCTAATCTTCTTAGGCTATCTTAAATAGTTTTCACATATTTATAACATGGGAGCCATACAAGTTTCACAGAACTACACACTCCCAATCCCACTGCACACCACAGTATAATACATTTTTGAAAACTTCACAGAAAGTGGCTGTTTGTAAGAAATTTTTTCCATTCACCTCATTAATAGAAATACCAATTTTGCTTTAGATTGCTTTACCCTGGCTATATTTACTGCTAGTAGACTTGCAAGTGGACAACATAAGCACTCCAGAAATCAAACAGAGAGAGAGACAGAAAAGGTCTCCTGTTAAGTGCCATAGTATTTTTATTTTTCATGGCCATAGTTTTCCTACTGATCGTTCTCTATGGACCTGCTTCAGTGTACT